AAGGGTCGGTGTTGGAGATACCTTAGCTGCAGCAGGACAATGATGACCGGGGCCTACCGCGAAGGCATCGGCGGTAGCCTATATACCCAAGCGTCAGGTCATGTTCAATTTTCACGGAAGGGTCATATCACGCTGAAGTTTTGCGTCCAGGTTAAAACAGTGATTCTTGCCCGCATTAGTGTGGACGAGATTGGAGCTGGACCAATGCGGTCAAGCACGCATGTGTGGTGCACGGCCGCGACCACACGAACCCCACCATCCATGGACCGATCAGACTCACCGCTGGTCAGCGGAGGCTGCGGCCACCGGTACAACCACGGCTACACCTACGTGGCCGAACACAGATATTTAGGCGCGGGAGCACGAGATCTTTTCCCGGCTGATCGACGGGTCGATCGTCGCCGCCGTATCTTTATCACGCGTCTCCTTTTTCTACCCAGCCACATGCGTCGGTCCGTGGCCGGGATCGCACGGCCGGTCGCCGTCTCCGCCGCGTGTGTGTGCGCGCACTCCTTTCTCTTTTCGATGATAAAAACTCCGCGGCTGTGCCGTGCCGGACCGTGCGAACATGGATCGAACATTCTTGGCGGAGAAAAATGTAAACAAGTGGTGGAACGAGAGGCGGCCAGTGGCGCCAGCCCGCCCGCCCGCGCGCGATCCACGGACGCAAACGTGGACGAGAAGATTAGGATACTGTTAGAAGAAGCCAGTGCAGGTTTTTCTCCGGCGAGCAGCAACTTGTAGCGAGCGAGCGAGATCGAGCCAACTATCCATGGAAAATATCTACTCTCTCTCCGAAAATATTGTCATTAAAATGTATAAAAAAATGTATCTAGAACTAAAATATATCTACATACATTCATTTTATTTATTTTAATGACAAGTATTTCCGGACGGAGGGAGTATGTCGCAGCGCAGTTCTCGGGTTGAGCTGTTGGCAACTTGGCAAGCAACTTGTAGAGGTTGAGAAAAATATCTAGTACCATACTCGTTTGGTAATTAAATATCTTCGTGGGTTTCAGGTACGCCGTGCACTGTTCCAGCCACCGGATTAGATATGTGTATGTATAAAAGAATCCATCCGGCTTCCTCAACTTGGTGGCTTCTGGAACAAACCCAGGGCCAGCCAATGGTTTCGCAACGGGCGGCCGTTGTTTGTTGCACCGTCGGTGTCCGTCTTGAATGCCTCGCCTTGGGCGTGGTTGGCAGCTTGGCAAGCTAGCCAGCCAGCCAGCAGATACTGTCACCGGCTCGGCTCATCTTGGTGCAATATTCCTGAAGTTTCCTGATGTTGTGCATGTACGGTTATATGCATGTGTGATGTGTTCCTCGCGACGTGAAATACTTTTTCTGTCCCAAAACAAGTACTAAAGTTGAGACATTTAGTTTAGAAGAACCGAGGAAGTGTAATTTTGGTAGTTTCTCGCACTGCGATTACACCAAGTACTATACTAAGGAGAGTTTTTGTGTGAGTATCACGGTGCATTTTCCTTTTGTCAGAAGAAAGATATTTTGTTTTAGAAAAATGGAAGATATTGCCTTCGGTTTAAGTTCAGCTGTTGGCATGGAAGTTGCAGCTGGTTCGGAAAATATCTTCAAGTTACTGTTCTATGGATTAGATAACGGGTTATATGTGAAAGGTGGTCATTGGTTGTTGCACTGTCCATGTCGATTCGGTGTCCCTCTTGTGTGTGGTTTGTCATCTACTTAGCTGATCTAGTGCAATCGTCCTAATGACGTGCACGCGCACAGTTATATGGCGTACCAGTATTCATGTACAATATCAGTTTATGTTTGAAGCCTTGGTTGCTATAATCCACGCCTCATCCTTTTTTTGCGCAGAAAAAGGAGCTTTATTCAATGTTTATAAAGTTACAACTGAGAGGCAAAAGTTTCTTAATATATGGTGGTCCATGGTGCAACCACACATATGTGGTTCGCTCTGTATGACTATAATTTGCCAACCAATTGATCATTCTATACTCTATTCTGGTTCCTACCCGAGTTTTTGTGAAACAAACTTCCTAACGTTCATCATAGCATTGATCTCCTGAATAAAATGCCCATAAGCCGAGTATACCAGTCTATCACTAGCACGGTTGATCCAGGGAAACACTAGCTCTAGGTCTGGAATATAAATTTCTGCTGGTGTCTCTGAAAGCTGTATTATTTTGAAACTTGTGAATGAAGAAAGTATATTTTATTCTTTCAAATGTGGCATGAGTAGTGCATGTTCTTGTCGCAAAAGAAAAATATCTTTCTAGAGAATGATAGATATTGGCATATTGCCGTCGGCTGAGGTTCAGCTGTTGGCATGCATAAAAGTTGTAGATTCAGAAAATATCTTCGCATTACTGTTCTCTATATTAGATAATTTGCATATATGTATATCTGGCAAACCACTTGCTACCTTGTGGCTTAGCCTGTACGTTTTTAGTGTGTTTTTTGCATAAGATCTAATGGTTTCACAATAGGCGGCTGTTTTTTTTCTTGTTGTTTGTTGCCCTGTCAGTGTCGCTCTTGTGGATGGTTGGCAATTTGGCGAGCTAAACACACGCTACTGTTGTCACCGACACGCCAATATAGTGGAATCTTTCTAAATTTATGTTTTTTTAGGAAATCATTTTTCTGAATTATTAGGCAAATTACATTAGATTGAACAATTCAGGAAAAAAACAAATGACAGTTTCTCAAGTTAAAATAAAACTTACATAAGAGTTTTTAAAGTCGTCATATGTAGCTTCATCTTTCGAATCTTGGCATTTCATACAAGTGAGGTACAAGTAACAATATCTTGCCCCGCTCCGGTGAGGGAGGGGCAATAACGACGGTGAGCCTTTGGCTCACTCCAATGCTTATAGTCGTCACTAGGTGGTTTACATGCCTGAATGTACTTTCTGTTATTTCAGTCATTTCTTGTACTGCCATGACAGATGATGAATAGATTAAAAGTTTTTCCCGCAAAATGGAAAGATTAGGACAAGCTCAAATAACCTTGAAGATTTTCAAGAGCTACTTGAATATCCCAACACAATAGGAAATCACTTTAGGTCGCCGGACACATTGTAGTCAGGAGGCAAGCTGTCGAACCATTGATTCATCATTTTACTATTGATAGGGAAGATCGGGAGAACACAAAAGATAAAAAATGGGAGAACTCTGGCTGAAACACACGTGGTACTATCATTATCGCCACCATTACGATGATCTACGAGAACAACGCCCTTTGATCTGTAGGACGAAAACACCATAGTATCTCAGGTGTTGGATGCGTCAGCATGGCCAATCGCTCCACAAATAAGAATATAATCGTGGGACATTTTCTGTTTGTGGTTTTATTTATCCACTCCTCACTCCAAATTGATTGTCGAAGGCGAGAAGAACTGGTAGCAATACAATGGAAGGTTGATTCACTGGTTGACAACCGATGGCTAGGGTTTCTCCATGTTTTTCTGTGGCTAGAGTGTTTTTTGGGCACCCCTATGTCTCGCTTATAGCGAGATGTAGGGAACCCTCGTGTAAAGAGGAGCGCCAGATGGGCCTGCCCAGCTCATGGGAGGCTACAAACTCACTTTCTTTTAATGTTTTTGGTTTTCTTTTTTGCTTCCTTTTTTTAATTTTTGTTTATACTACCAAATATTCTATATAAATGTTTCACATGTCACGAAAAATGTGTGTGAAAAAGTTGATCATGTATTTAAAAAAAGTTACTCAAGTATTTGAAAAAAATGTTGATCATGTAACAAAAAAAATGTTAATCATATATTAAAAAATATATTAAACATGAATAAAAAATGTTTCAGATATATACCAAAAATGTACAATGTGTATGAAAAAAGTAGAAATCAAACACAAATTTCAGAAAATGTTAATCGTGTTTTAAAATGTGTACAAAAAATGCTTCTGATGTATGCAGACAATTTACAGGATGTATTAAAAAATTAATCATGAAAAAACTTAAATTTATAAATGTTGATCATGTATAAAAAATGTAAATGATATACTTAAAAAATGTGAAAAATTAATTAAAGATGTCCTCATATATAAGAAAATGTACAATGTGTATGACAAAAGTAGTCATCAAACATAATTTTTAAAAAATGTTAATAATATATTAAAAAAATGTTAAACAAGTATACAAACTTGTCTTGATGTATGCGTAAAATTTACAAATATGTATGAAAAATGTGGACAATTTTTTCGAGAACTTGAAAAATGTAGACATGTGTTGAAGAATAAAAAAACGAAGAAAGACGAGATATGGCAATCTCTAATGGGCCATGGGCGGAGCCTAAAGACTACTCAAGATGGGCAAAATAGGCTCACGTTGCTATATGGCAACTGACTTCGGCAGCAGCCCGGTTCTTCGCTCCATCTCGCCGCCCCCAAGTTCTCAAAAAAAAAAAAAAAAAAAAAATCTCGCCGCCCCCATCCACGCTGCCCGTTGAGATCGGCGACATCGTAGCGGCGCCGATGCCCCCGTCGCCGCCGGCGATCTCGCCGGCGCGGCTGCACAAGCTGGTTTCCGCGCAGGCGGACCCGCTCCTGGCGCTCGAGCTCGTCAACGTCACCTCCCCGACC